GTGGTGGGTTAGCCCTCTCGCTCCAGCCTACGTCACTGCATGGGATTCCTTCCCCGGGGAGTGCAATGAGGGAAAAAAAAGTCAGCGGCTCTTCACTCAACGTTTATCCACAAACTGGTCCTGGATTAAGCTCCAAAGTTTTTATCAGTCAGATTCCACCGTGAAAAATGTCTGTTTTATCCCCTTTTATGAGTTTCTGGCCACTGACTATCTTTAAATCGCTACTTCCTGGAACAACAGTCGGCTCTGGAAGCGATCGCTTTTTTCTTCTTCTTTTGAAGCGAGTGGTTGAAGCAAATGGAGCATAAGAGCCCACTGGTGGCAGAAGAAAAAATCCACGTATAAGCCACACCAGACTATAAGCCGCATGGTTCAAAGTTCAGGAAAAAAGTCGCGGCTTATAGTCCGAAAAATATGGTAGCAGCTGAGATGTGAAAGTAATTTTAGCATTTCAGCAATCCCAACATGCTCAGTTTTTATCTTTATTTAACAGATAATAACATATCCTTGTGTTTGTCTTCCAGGGAACCTTTGCGTTTGCCTTGATCAAATACTCACCTCTGAAGTACAACAATGAATACGTGTACCCTTGGTGGGGGGATGGGATTGGCTGGATTCTAGCTCTTTCCTCCATGCTATGCATTCCTCTGTGGGTGGCAGCGAAACTCTACTTTACTCCAGGAACACTGAAAGAAGTAAGCCAGCCTGCTGATTATTGTTCACAAGTGATCAAAACTTAAATGTTAAAAAGCAAAAAGTGACTAAAAAAAGACATATTTTGGAGAAACTCTATCAAAATTCAAAATGTTACACTCCATAAAGGCTCAAGTACCCATAATAGTCTTTATTCTACAAAATTTAATTTAAAAACAAATGTATTCAATTAAAACTTTTAAACTTGCTGGAAAAACTTTGAGTCGCCTTTTAAATAATTTTATAAGCTTTAATTTTTTTACTTTTTTGATTTTTTTAGACAAGAGTGATTCAGCTGTTAAAGAACCACAGTGTTTCTGCTTGAATCCAGCATCATACTGTCTCTCCTCCACAGGCTTTGTATATGATAAACTCAACACCAGAGCACAACATGAAAGCTAAAGTAAAATTAAAAAACAATGTGCGCAGGTGTCTAACTTTGGTTTTCTTTCTTCTCTGCTCCAAGACACCTGATTTGAAGAGGTAAATGAATCACTGAATTATGTGTGTTGGAGCAGAGAAACAAGAAAAACATGCAGAATAGTGGCCCTCCAGGACCAGAGTTTTAGGTTCATTATGAGACGTTTTTCTGACAAAATAAAGTCTCCATCGTCCATTATATTAAAACAATCCCAAAAAAATTTCTAATAAAGTTTAAATATTTCAAGCACTTGTGAAAGTAAAACTGTTGGGCCTAATCTTGACACTAATAAATTAAATTAATTCTCAGTTTTATACTGCCGGACAGGACACGATTAATAATAATAATAAAAAGCATATATTTTTATCCTGGAGTTGACTTATGTTGATTCACACATTAGTTCTTTGCTAATTAATTGTCCAATAGTTACACTTATGTATTTGAAACCTAAATAATACGTATTTAACACCATGACTTATAATGAGATTATTTTATTATGGCTTTGCTTTTAAAACATAAACCTATTGTCCATATTTAAATGGTTTTTGCTCTTCTCTTACAGTTTGATAAAAAAAAACTGATTTTATGTCTAAATGAGCACAAACTTCTTGAGCCATTTCAATCTGGTTTTAAAACTCACCACAATAGAGTCTGCACTGTTGAAAGTTTTTAATGACATTTTTGTAGAGGTTGGTTACTGTGTTGTTTTAATGCTGCTGGATCTGACAGCTGCCTTCGACACAACGGACCATCAGATCCTCCTGTCTCGTCTAGACAATATAGTGGTTTAGATCCTACTTATCAGAGAGGAGTTTTTGTGTTTGTGTCGGAGCAGTTGAGTCTTCTGTAGCACCATTCACGTGTGGAGTACCTTAGGGCTCTATGCTTGGCCCTCATTTTTTTCCCATTTCTTTACTACCACTGGGATCTCTGAAACATGGTTCTCATTCCATTTTTTATGCTGATGACACTCAAATTTATGTCCGATTGAAACAGACAAAGCAATATTCTGTGAACCAACTTCTGAAATGTTTTGCAGAAGTCAGAACATGGCTGTTGCTGATTTTTTATTTTATTTTAATGAGCAAAAAACCAAGGTCATGTTGTTTAAGCCCAGTGACGGCTCCAAAGTCCAAGCTGATCTTGGTCCTTTAGCACAACATCTGACCCAGACAGCAAATAACCTGGGTGTTAGCTTGGACAATGATTTTAAACTAGATGTTCAGATTAAATCAGTGATGACGTCCAACCTTTGTCACTGAGACAACAGGCCAAGGTTAAGCTATTTCTTTCACATCATCATTTTGAGATTTTAACCCATTCTTTTATCACAACTTGTTTAGACTACTGCAATTCATTTGATGTTGGCTGAGCCAGTCATTACTGACTCGACTTCAGCTGGTTCAGAACGCTGCTGCTCACCTTTTAACTGGTACCAGAAAATGAGATCACATCACCCCTGTGATCCAATCACAACGTTGGCTCCCTGTTTGTTTCTGAATTACTTTTAAATTTCTGTTGTTTGTTTTTAAATGTCTTCATGGTCTCGTCCCACTGTATCTGTCTGACCTGTTCCGACTTTACGCTCCCTCTCGTTACTCTCAGGTCAGCAGATCACTTTCTGTTGGTCGACCCGAAATCAAAGAAGGAGGCTGAGAAGTGATCAAGCATTTCCAGTTGCTGCCCCTAAACTGTGGAATGAGCTGTCTTTATACATCAGACAGACCAACTCCCTATTTTCAAATCTGCTTTTAAAGCATTTTTTTTCTCCTTGACTTTTAACTCAGTTTCAGATGTTGGTTTTAATGGTTTTTATGTTTGCTTTTGTGCGTTTTTAATAATGTACAGCACGTTGGTCAACAGTGTTGTTCTTAAAGTGCTTTATAAATAAAGTTGTTTTGTATTGTATCGTATTTTTGCCATCAATGTTTCAACAAACTCATGCTGCCTTTTGATGAACTTTCCATTCACAGCGCTTTGTTCTGCTGACGACTCCCTCCCCTGACCTACCGAAGACGAAGCAGGAGCAGGAGAAGCTGCTGGCCATCTTTGCGACAGATGGAGACAAATCCCATCAAAAAACTTCGACCACGAAAGACGGCTACTGCCCTGTGGCTGAAAAGGAGTCTCATTGCTAGAGGGCTGAGCGTTGCAGTCTGTTTTGATACTTTTCTCTCATACCTCACCAGACGAGGTGCAGCTGCAGAGTCAGCCTCCCCTCTGTCGGCCTCCTCGCTCCTGGAGCTTCTTGTCTTGTACATGCCTTCAACAAAACATGTATTTCCTCCTTTGGAGACTATGCTAACATCTCATTTGCCAGTGGCAAAGTAATATTGGAAATGTGACCACTTTAGGTCCTGTGTGGCAAAGAAATTTGCTTTCTAAGGAAGCATTTTCATCTGTAATGGACATCTCTAATGTTCAGTTAGTTCAACATGTGGGGTTACTAACTGCGTCATCTGCAGCAGATGGAGCACAAAATGTGTCCCAGAACTGCACAAACTACAAAAGTTAACTTAAATAATGTTTGTAATCATTTAACAGATTTTTTTTAAAAATGCAATCAACGTACATTTTTAGTATTCAACCTTATTACTGTGACACAAAGAACTGTCATTTTGAGTCAATATTTTTCTAATGCTGCAATTTTTTACAGAAGAGAAGTAAAAAGCTCTGAGCAACATAATTAGATTTTGAATTTACAATTTAGGGCAGAAGGACCACAGCAGAACTTGGTTTAATTGTGCTGTTTTATTTTGCAGCAAAGTTTTGGCTTCATTGATTAGATTCATTTTGTTCCCACCTGGCTAACCAAGTCCTGCAGAGTTCCATGGATATTTTTATACATGCTAAATTAACACATTTTAAATCAACTTAAATTCTACTAAATGTACCGAAGTGTTTGAAACTCGATCCCGCGTAGCGGTAACATAATGACCCCCGCACGCACAAATGCACCAGAACTCAGAAGTCTTTATTCTTAATAAATGTCATGCTACTAGGTGCATCCCAAAATTGTAGTAGCTTGGGCGGGTTTTATTTATTTGGGGGTGGGAGGGGGGGCATTGGTTGACCTGATGGATAGCCCCTCATCAGAGCTAAAC